CCCCCCCCCCTCCCACATGGTGCTGTATTAATGTATTGCTGGGGTAGTGGGATTTGTAGTCCTCTATAGCTGATGGTACATTGTGCTGCATATTATACCATCAGCTATAGAGGACTACAAATCCCAGCAATACATTATACGCTGTATGTATAATTCTGCATTGCGCCGTATAATTATTATACAGTGCAATGCAGAATGGCACCAGCTACAGAGGACTACAAATCCCAGCAACAGTACATTATAGTATAATGTACTATTGCTGGGATTTGCTGTAGTCCTCTATAGCTGCAGGTATTCTGCATTGCGCCGCTGTATAATGTACTATATTGCACACCACACTTTTTTTTTTACTTCCACCGCTCCAAGCTTGCTCCCGTGATGGACTACAATCTCAATCCAAACTAGTAGTCCATCACTGGAGCCTTTTTTTTTTTATCCGATTAACCGATTAATCGAACTTAATAATCGGCTAACTAATCGATTTTGCAAATAATCGTTAGGTGCAGCCCTACAAACAACAAAACAAGGAGCATGAATCTCATACACGCAGCAAATAAACCTTCTGATCCTTCTATATCAAACAAAATCTTTTGATTACAATGTATCGGTTTTATTTCTAATCCGCTCAGCCCGGAGTTTTCATTTCTTCTTTTTGTTATTATGTTTCTGTCTTCCTGGAGTAGAGATTCCCTCGCTGCCGCTCATCATCATCATTATATTTATGTTATTTGTCTTCTTCCCCATTCCAAATAAAACAGATCGTTTCTATTTTCCGACGCCTGAGGGTGGGCGGGGGAGGTGCAATCCGAAGATCTCTAAATAAATCACGGATTCTGGGAAGTATTTTCGTCAATCTGATTTCCCGTCGGAACTGCCCGCTCCCTATTCATGTGAAGTTCGCCCCCTTTGGGGGCCGGATCTATAATTGGTGCCGAACTCCTTGGCTGACTCGCCAACATCAGGAACTCTGACACAAAAGGGGGCGTATTTGTCACACAAAAAAAGTCAAATCCTGGCGCACTTCCTTGTGACCGCATTCGCCATTGAAGTTTTCTGGGGGTAGGCGGAGGGTTAGAGCCTTCCGACAGGTTTACATTGCTGTCTTGTGTCCACGTTAGGGAAACTCACCCTCTCTATTAGTCCTGCTGATCCTTCCATGGAGATCCTTGTTCAGGTACTTCCTGTTATAGGGTGACAACGTCCTGTCCCTGTCTCCCAATTGCCTCCTGCGTTGTCAAACGCTCTTGAAATGAAGACTACAAAAGGCTGTTTTGTCATACATTACGCAGACACGGGGCTGGTGCTACACTATTTTGCGCACTAGGCAAGACCAGCTACTTGCACCCCCCAAGCCCCCCTCCTGTGGCACAACCC